CTCAGGTTGCTGTGTGGAGAAGGGGTTTTGGAAGGAGAAAGGCAATGGTGTTGCAGGATTCACAGCAAAAGGCAGGAACATTTTGATATCAGTATACAAGAGAATGAAAGAGTCAGTCAAGGATGTTGCAAATGTCAGAAGTGGTTGTTGAAGAGAAGGAAAGCAGTGCAAGATATTATGGTGGTTTGAAGATGTGCTTCCCTTCTAGAGAAACCAATTTTTGTTTGGTCCGTTTAGTAAAAAAAAAAACCTGACAGAGGACTGTAAGATGATATGTTTAAAACCAGTAGACATTGGAGTGGAAGACATTGGCAGAAGTTACCCAGAATGGTTGGCAGAAGCCCCATCCCTGGAAACATGTGACATCAGGCTGGATGGGGCTCTGAGCAGCCTCAGATACAGACACCTCTGCTCCACTGCAAGGGGGCTGGATTAGATGACCTTCGAAGGTTCTTTCCAACACAAAGCATTTTATGATTGTCTGAATACCAAAACTTAGTTACAGGTAGAATTACATCAAAAATTAGTTGTAAATCTGTTCACCAATGCAGACTATAAAAAAAGTACTGTTTGGCTTAGAAATGAACATTTTACAGTTTTTGAACAAAACATTTTTACTCAACTCTTTTTCTCATCACATGTCATTAAGGCAAAGGAATGAAAGACTGTTTTCCCAAAGATGGTGTTACTGGTACTTGTTGTAATCTCAAACCCCATCACTTGGCACATAGACAAAGTGAGGCGGTCACCCTGGATAGGAGAGTGATGTTAATCACCTCCAGTGCCTGGAGGGAGTCAAACACACCTTTTTCTCCTTGCAGCCCTCACCACCAGGCTGTTGGATGCCTTGGGATGCAGTTATTCTTTGTTTTCACTTTGAACTATATTATTATGAAGAAGATTCCATGATGAAACACATTGACAAGTTACTCTGGCATCCACTCTGTGCTTTTTGGTCCGTTGAATCCTAAATGCATTGCTGTGAAGCAGATTTGCATCAGTAGCAAGTCCTTATACCCGTATAGACTATAGAGTAATAGTCAGGACACCTGCCTAAGAGTTGGAAAATAAGAATTTTATTTCAGTGGGCAAAGAAGGAAACTGAAAGTGAGTCCTCCACTAACTACTGGGCTTTTTATAAAGAGATTATGCATGTTATGGTCTATGGGGAGATGTGTTTATTTTGTTAAGTGGTTAGAGTGTTAAGTAGAACTTCAGTGACCTTTTTATTTTCAGAAAAAAATGTTAGCATAGAAATGAAATTGGTATTAAGTTATTAAAAAACACTTCCTGAGATGTGGGGACTTTTGGAGACTATAATGGCCTGTAATAGCACACGAAGGGTGTATTTTCGGTATTAGAAACTGGGTAGTATATATTCCTAGTTCCCCAAGACCGAAGCTGATAAGCCCACATCGTGAGAGGTAAACTCAACCCACATTTGCTGTTTTGCAAATTGAAACTGTGCAAATGGAAGTGTTAGATTTAGGTCTGACCAAAGGTCAAATTAACTATGTTTCCCATTACTGAATTAGGCTAGACTATCTGCCTACTTAGGGAAAACCTGACTGTCAAGTACAGAGTAATCCTTACCCTGATATATTGTCTTAGCTTCCAGATATCAAACTTGTACTCAAAAGCTACATCTGTACCATTATATTTAGTGTAAGTATGCAGGTGAACTTATTTTCTATTTCGTTTATTTTGAAAATGTGTTTATTATTGGCTTCCACAAGAACCCCTGACAAGGAGTTCCAGAGTTAGTTATGTTGAAAGAGCAATTCCTTGACTTTTGAAATCTATAAATTTGATTGATACTTTTGAAAAATATTGTAAGAAGTAAAGGATACTGGTAATAATTTATTGAGCAAAATCTGGAGGTTAGCTCTCAGGAAGCAAAAGGTTGACATTGAGGGACATCTGGCAATAAATTTACAAAGAGATGTGATAGATCTCTGTGGTTTTTAGACAGAACGCTAAACCTAGACTAAATAAAACACAGTGGTATGTTTTGCAAAGAAGTCCTCCACTGGTTGGGATAGCATGATTCTATATAAAGGCATTGCCAGTTCTGAGTGATACAGGGAGGCAGAATCACATATGGGAAAGAGAAAAAAAGATTTGAAAAAATACTTTTATTTGCAGCAGGAGGAAGTGAGAGTTTACAAACAAGTGCTTTGCTTCTGTGCAGGGTGACAGCAGTTCAGCACAGACGCACTTGCCCAAATAACTGATTGTTTGCATCTGATACCCCTGCTGCAGATAAACCCTTATGTGGTCCGTATTTTGCACATCTGCAAAATCTCTGCAACTCCTTAGTTTACTCCAGTGATTTTAAGTGACTTACAGCACGTCAATGAGCTAAGTTAATAGTGTAGCTTTTAAAGACAGTGTCTATGCTACTTCCAGCAGTAATAAAATGTCCTGGTACTGGAGTACCATCTGTGCAGCTTTTGTGATGGCAAAACTTGTGATGTTGTTTATGTGTGCAGACCACTGGCATGTTGACCACTTGCTCATATAAACCTACCAGTGTAGCAGTAATCATTGCACTACTTAAAGTTGTATTTGCCTGTTCACTTGAGGACTTCCACCTTTGCTGACACAAGTGGACTTTGATGGAGGTATAGGAAAATCCTGTCCTACAAGAATCTGCAACATATGAGTAGCAGATGAAATTGTCTCTGTATTTTCTCCACATTCCCAATCAAATCTAGGTCACAAGCTGATATGTTGATGTGTTGAGAGAGCCACAGTATGCATTTTCAAAAAGAAGTGAGAAGTAAACACGTATTGAAAACTTAACATTGGATGAGGACTTCTGAGGAAGTGGCAGGTGCCAGATTCATATTTTTGTAAGAAAACCAAAAATCAGTCTTCCTTTTTTCTCAGACCACGTTGTGTAGACTCAAAGGACTCCCTTAAAAAGGGGTCCAGAAGATGTACCTTTCAGGGAACCAAAGAAAGTCCCCAAAACCAAGACACCCATAAACAAAATTTAACCTACACTTAAGCCTTCCTTTGTAAATTTAACTGTACATAAAAGCACCAAAATGCCACAGTGCAGAGATTATCTGATCCTTCACAGATTTTAGTTAAACTAACAGAGGTTTAAAACTAGTTTTGATTATCAAAAGACTGAATGCATTTGCAGCTAATAAAGGCAAAGTAAAATGAGGAAAAAATGCAAATAATCCCAAGGAAGACATGTTCAAAAGAAGCGTTTTGCTTCCTGATGTGCTGCCAAAATCAAGACAAATTTGTGTTCATTCAGTTACTAGTGTTAATGTTTCTTGTAAGACAGAATCCAGGATTTGGATTGATGGGAGAAAGTAAATGAGAATTTCTTCTTATTTACTGCATTGCTAAATAATTTTTAAGTGCCAGGCAATGCATGAGGCAGTTGCCTTTATTTACTCATTGTTTTCTAAATAAAAGGAAACTATTATAAAAATGAATTTCAGGCAATCAGGTTTCTTTAACTAAAACCAAACAAGTTATCCTTAAAAGGATGGGTAGAGAAGTTAATTATCTAAAAAAATGTTAGCACAGAAGGAGAGACATCGAGTCACATGGTTTAGCACTAGCTCTTTTCTTAGAGCAGAGGGTTCTGCATTTTCATCTGAGGATTCATTTTCAGTTTGTTTTTTTTCTGTGGAGAAAAGTTATTGGTGAACAGTTGTTCATTTACGTTGTGCAATGAAAGGACAGAATAAAGAAAACTGAATAACAGCATCTGTGTAGAATAATCATCCCAGATTTGTTTGCTACTGGTGACATCAGATGGCTAAGTCAGAGTAATACTGGTCTAGAAATGAGTGAAAATTTAAAAATTTTTGGTATTCAATTCTGTTATATCTGGAGGTCTACATCCACAATATTAAGTGAAGGAAGTATCCCTGGTAATTGTACTTCTGTGGTTTGTCCATAATTTTTTTTATCCATTTTGTTGCTCTAAAAATAAATACTTTTTAATTATTTTCATGCTATGTAATGGTAAGAAACTGAAAACAGAGAAACGAATATAGGATGATATGCACGAACTGGCAGGATTTTAGAGTTAAGCCTTATAGGATAAACCTGAGCTTAATTTGAAAGGATATGTGGAAATTAGCTTTGATTTCTTCTTACTTACGTACTTAGCATTGTTAAGTTATTGAAAATCAAAATCAATCACAGAAATAATATTATAGTAAAGCATAAAAGTATTCCTTTCACATTCTCTTCAAGTGAAATTTGGAAGTATCATTGAAGTTTGTGTCAGGATGTCCTCTGAATTTAATATTTTACTCCACTGGAAGCCAATTTCATTAAAAAGATTCCATTGTAGTACAGTAGTGACAGGGTCTTCCTAACTGAGTCCTTCAGAATTAAGCAATAAACTAAGAGCTAACCTAAACCAAAAAGTTTCAACCAGCTTCTATTTGTCCTTTTGGGCTGTGTTGGGTGCAACTGTTCAGCTGGTACTTCAACAGGTCTAGTACAAAACTGTTTCTCCACCAGAGCTAATTTACTCTCCTTAAAGGGATATTTTTTTGCACTATCCCAACTTCTTAATTCAGTTTTCTGTCAGAAACTCTACATGAATCCAAGCAGAATTTACTTAAATTCTTTAAAATCAGGAACAATAACTTAACTTGGAAAGAAGCTAATGAGTCTGTCCTCATGCTTAAGAAATATTGATCGTGCAGTGATCTAAGCAGTTCATACTACCTGCTGATTATATTGGAATTTCATAGTTGGGGAATTTCACTCTTAAATAGGCCAAATAAATCATTATATATAAATAGTTTATATATAATGTGCATACATAGTCTATAACAGGTTATAGAATGTTTCAATTGCAACACATGATTGAAAGTTAAAATAAAATGGAGTCCTTTAGTGGTTGAAGTATACTTTTTTTTTAATTCTCTGTTACTTTTGGAACATTTATGGGCAGAAATAATTTTGTCATGTTAGAAAACACAGTATTAACCCTGTTTTTCTCTTGGCTACAGGGCAGCACAACTATTTATGTGCTGGAAGAAATGACTGCATTGTCGATAAAATTCGGAGGAAGAACTGTCCGGCGTGTCGCTTGAGGAAGTGCTGTCAAGCTGGTATGGTCCTGGGAGGTGAGCTGCTTTTCAAATTACATTCAGAAAAACAGGCAGCCAAGAACACTACCTTCCATCTGTCAAGTTTAAACAACATTACTTTCATACTGCAAAGAACCAGATAAAAACGTTATTTTTGGAAGAATTGCCTGAAGTTTTAAAATTCCTTATCATTTTTCTTTAATAAGTCTGGAAATCCTGAAACAAAAATAACTTTCTGTAGGAATCTCCCTCTCCTGCTGTATACCCTTCTACTCACACTGCCTTCTTGCAAGAGCAGGAATTGTGTCTTTGGTTCGTATTTTTTAATAATTTTGGATCAGAAGATTTGATGTAGGTAAAAAACAAAGCAGCAAATTGAGATTGACAGTAAAATCGGGAACCAGTACTGTCCCCTTCTCTTTTCTGTTGTGCTCTCCATCATTGCTTTGAGTACCTGTCAAAATTATATCCTCCCGTTCCACTGAAGAGGGCCAGCCAGTGGCTGCACCAACACTACAGACTTTGCACAAATGCTAGGAATTCCCATCTCTGTATTAGTTTTTACTGTAATAGATTTGCTTTTTCTATGTAACATTAATCAAAATTGAGCACTAAACCTTTGAAAACCTATAGGGAGAAAATGGTGTAGTATCAGGTAGTCACATGGCAAGCTTTGCTGTGCTAACATGCAGGGGTGACTTGTATTTTTCCTGTATTTTTTTCATATTCGTCCTAAGAACTTTAGCTATCTAAAGGTTTAGATCAGAACAAAGCTTGAAAATACATGGCTAAGATTATAAGAAAATGGCTAGAGGTGATAGAATATATTCTCAAACAGAATTAAAAAAAAACAGGAAGGGCAAAAACAGGTGTCTTTGTAATGTAATTTATTTTATTGTATCAAACATCTCTCTCTGTTGCTGCATTTTATGTATTGTTTTATATCCCTGAAGGAAGAACTGGCATCATATACTTGTGTGGTTTCATTATCTTGCTAATCTGTGCTAGTTTGTAAGTTCAAATGTGTGTGTAATTTCCAGACTCAGGCTGTGGTTGGATAGCTGTACACTTTCAGCTCCTGTAACACGGTGTGGAGTTGGAGTGTTCTGCACACATGGTCATTGAGTCATCCTTACGTTCTGTACTTTTATCTGTGGCATGAATCAATGGTTCCCAAACAGAGCAGCTCTTGACATCTCTGCAAGACCAGGAAACAGCCAGTGGGATGAGAGGAGGGAGGGATGATGCTGTGGTACAGACTGAATTCTGTGTGGTACCCCCAAACCTCCCTAGACTCTCAGTGCTGCCTCTTCTTTGAGTTGTCTTCTCCAAACTGTATCCCTCTCGCTCCAGAACACAGGAGACAGAGTAACAAGCTGTTAAACTAATTGGTGGTACTCTCTCCCTCCTTCTTGTGCCTTGGTCAGTCGATACTGCCTCTCAGTAAAAAAACACAGAGCTGACAAGCGTGTTGGTAGCACTGGAGTAGGGGAGGAGGGACAACAGGTGAAGAACATGCCCTTTGGTTCCTTTTCAGAGAGAAGTGATGTTTTATAGCTGGAGTTGCAGTGCAGTAGAGGAACAGTATTACTACCAAGACAGAACCTAAAGCATTGTTTATCCAGGCCTGGAAGAGAAGAATGCTAAGGAGGCAGGGGTCTGGAGTGAGTTGTGGAATTTGTGGTAAGACTGGAGACTCAGGAAAGGAGGAGGTGGCAGTTATAATGCCTGTCTTTTAAGGTTTGGAACAACTTGTAAGGTCTTCTTGTAAGGTCTGCGCAACTTGATCTATAAAAGATGTCCCTCCCTGTGGCAGAGTGGTTGGAGTACATGATCTTTAAAGGTCCCCTCCAACCCAAACCTTTGTATGATTCTAACTGGTGTAAATTAATACAGGTAAAAATTAATTCCCAGCTCTGAGTTTTGCACGGTCAAGAGTTTGATGATGATCTATCCCAAATTTTCATGTATGATAGCTTGGATAACACCAATAACTAAACTCCAAGTGTTTTAAAACCACAGGCAACACTGTTTCAACAAGCAGAAGAGTGTGTGATGACTCTATAGCATCATCTACTCCTTTTGCTTTAGCATTGTTCTACATAGTAATTTTACATAGAAAAAGTAGCTAGAAGGCTTGACTTCGTTGTACATTTTGCATGTAGATGCTAGTTTTCCTAGTGTTCTTTAATATATAAAATTTGCAGTGGGTGTTGGTACCTAGAGTGGAAAAAGTTGGACATTTCTGCTAGCAATATGGATGAGATGGTATGTCCTCATTAGTGTGTCATCCTATAAGGATGTTATATCCTCATACTTGAAACTAAAACCTGAGGATAGAGGTGCTCTGACTCTTTTGTGTATGAAAAGATTAAAAATTTCCTCTTTCTCTTTGGATTAGTTTTTTTTTTCTCAGCTGTGACTAAGCAAGTATGAATAGTTTCTTTGTATTTAGTGCTATGCTGTTCTATCTAACCAGTTTGTTTTGTTGTTTAGCCTTTTTCTAAATACACCTGATCAAAGCTGTCTTGCATTTTTTTGAGGAGATTGTTCCAGTCTACTTTCTTCGAGTTCTCAGAGGGACATGGCATCTCATCAGATCTCTGCTCTGATATCTCCTGCCTACTCCCATCTTCTGGAAAGAAGTGGTCTGGCAGCAAATAAGAAGTAGAAGAGAACAGTGGGGCAATGGACAAAAGGAAATAGATCCAGGACTGTGGCATCTCTAGTTATTCCTCAGCTGCATCAGGTTGAATGCAGTATTTCAGGTTCTCTTAGAGATGCCAACAGTTCTAGGGACATTAGGAAACTAATTATTCTATGCAGATTGAAATCATAGTATCGTAGAGTCATTTAGGTTGGAAAAGACCTTTAAAGTCATTGAGTCCAACCATAACCTAAGTCTATCAAATCCACTGCTACACCGTGCCCCTAAAATCGATGGGGACTTTTAAACGCATCCAGGGATGGTGATTGAACCACTTCCCTGGACATCCTGTTCCAGTGCTTGATAACCCTTTCAGTACAGAAATTCTTCCTAATACCTAATGTAAACCTCCCCTGGTGCAACTTGAGGCCATTTCTTCTTGTCTTGTCACTTGTTGCTTGTGAGGGGAGACCTTATCACTCTCTTCAACTCCCTGGAAGGAGGCTGTAGAGGTGGATGCTGATCTCTCCTCAGCCTCCAGTTTTTCCAGGCTAAACAACTCCAGTTCCCTCAGCCAAACCTCGTAAGACTTGTGCTCTAGGCCCGTCACCAGCTTCATTGCTCTTCTCTGGACCTGCTCCAGCACCTCTGTCTTTCTTGTATAGAGGTGCCCAAAACTGAACCCAGTCTTCAAGGTGTGGCCTCACTGGTGCCAAGTACTGGGGGACCATCATTTCTGTAGTCCTGCCGGCCACACTTTTTTTGATACAAGCCAGGATGCAATTGATGTTCTTGGCCACCTGGACACACTGCTGGCTCATGTTTGAGTGGTTGTCAGTCAGTACCCACAGCTCCCTTTCTGCTGAGCAGCTTTCCAGCCACTCTTCCATAAGCCTGTAGCATTGCATGGGGTTGTGACCCAAGCATGGGACCTGTCACTTGGCCTTGTTGAAATTCATGCAGTTGGCCTCAGCCCATCAATCCAGGCTGTTCAGGTCCCTCTGTGAAGCCTTTATAACCTCACACGGACCAACACTCCCACCCAATTTGGTGTCATCTACAAACTTACTCAGGGTGCACTCTGTCTCATCCTGGCATGCTTAATACTGAAAGAAGGAGTAAAGTCAAATGTAGGGCAAAAAAATGAGGAAAGATGGAGTGAGATTATATTATTTGTAAAAGCGGATTTTAAAATTCAAACCAACAGAAAATCTGAAGATAGGCTGTTTAACCCTAACACTTTTCCTACTGTTGCTGTTGTCCTTACTTCTGATCTTCTGGCATTTCTTGTATTTCCTTTATAGCCTCACATGAGCAGTATTTCCTACCCGTGACTTGCTGTGCTGATCAACACAGTATGATTCATATATGAGGTGCTACTAGGCATAGAAATTTTTCCCCAGGACATGTGCAAATTTCCAGTTCATGGAACAAATTACTTACTTAGCTACATCCTTGAGTATTTTTAATGAATCAGAATTGTCACTGCTGTAAATATTTTCTTGTTTTTGCAGCCTGTTATGCTTTAAGATGTTTTGTGCATTTTCTGATTTCTGCCGTTCAGATCTTACATAAATATACTTCTGTTCTTTCACTCCTGCTACTTAATTAAGACCAAGTAATTGCTACTTAATGCTAGCCTTCAGTTATGAAACAGAGTCCTCCTGTATTGCTTAATCAAGGTGAGAATGACTAAGATTTTGTAGGATGTTAACTAAGATTCTAGAGAGTCTCATTATGTTAATTAAACTGCTGGGAGGAGTACACTTACCTTCCACTGAATGTTATTGTGTGGCAACCATACAGATGAAGAATATTATATTACATTGGCAACAGATCCATCTTCCAACCCTAATTTCAAAGCAATAAAATGAACCTGAATTTTTCTAAAATAGTCTGTAGTTGGTTGTAAGTACATTACAGAGTAGCAACAAATAGCCTTAATAACTGATTTCACTATGTGGACTCTTTTTTTCTTGATATACAGGAGGAAAGTATAAATGAAAGGATACATTTCATAATTCCTTAATTGCCATTGCCTATGGGAGTTTTAATTGCCTTTGAGTTTTATAATCTCATAACTGGACATGTTGATATATCCCCTTTCTAATCTTCTACCTAACAGAATAGCAGGTGGCTGGGTCAGGTCCTGGAAGAAACAAATGCTCACCTTTCTTATTTCCTGTCAGTGACTGTAATTTTCCCAGGCTGACCATCACCAATTCCTTGTTCAGTTGTATTGCTAAATTATTGCTTTCTTCATTGTTTCAGTCAGCTTTCAGTGCATGTTGCAATGATCACATGCAGGTGATTTCAAATTAACTTTTTCGGGTAAAATCTTCTGAAGTGGTATCAAAGACTTTATTAAAATCAAGCTGTATGACTTCTGGTTTGCTGCTTTGCTCCTTTATGTTGTATACAGCCTCCTAAGGTGTACCCAGCTTATTCTGTATTCTCCTATACAAAACACAAGAGCGTAGTGACCTCAAAGCCAGAGCCATAGTGTTCCCTCAAGAATAATAAATTATTGACATTCTTCACCTGATTACAGGGTATGGAGAAGGATAGTTAGAGGCTAGCCTTTTACCAGGTTCTGTATACCTAGTTAAAAGAATATTAAGATACAGAATTATATCTTAAGGAGAAAATCATGATATATTTGATGATGAGATTGGGTAGTTATAATTTTAAAATTTCTTTGTTTTCTAGGTACATGTAGTACACAAAGACCGTACACATGCTATTTGTAGTAATTTAGGGTAAGGGAACTCTGAGGACTTAGAAACTTATTGAGTGGTTGACTGTCAAAACAAATTACTGAAAATGTTAAAAGGAAAGGTATACTGTCTAAATATGCACAGACAGGTTCTACTATGAAGATGTACAGTTGCCAGACTGGATTAGCATTCGTCACACAGTATATGACTAATTAGAGACATCTGTTTACCTTGCAGCAGGAACTTATCTGGATATTTTTGTAAGCAGCAATTGAAAAACTAAGCTGTTGTTAAGTCACTGTTACCTTCCTTATATCCTGAAGAGTTTGCATTAATTTGACATGGTCTCCTTGTGGTATATGGGCAAGTTTACTGTGAGTTACTAATACTCACCTCTCCACTAGGTAGGTAACAAGTGGAGTTGCTTAACTGGTGACTGTTAAACATAAATAGAAATAAACACATAAGCAATTCTGCAAACCAGTGTGGCATTAATTCTGATACATTTAATCACTTGGAAACATGAGTACTTAATAACTACTAATGTTTCCATGTGATAAGCACTCTGTTTGGTTTCTTTCTTTACTTGTTCTCTGAACTGTAAAAGTATCTGAAGCCATTATTTCAGAAAATACCTGAAATCATTATTTATGGACTATCAAATGCGTTGCTCCTTCTGTTTTCCTTCATGCCTAAACAATAGTTAGTGGGAAATTCCCAGCATGTTTAGCATTATGTATGGCTTTGTTTTGCTAGAAATTGGCCCTAGTCTCTTGCCATAATATATTGTCTATTCTTCTGGGCCTTCTTTGGTTCACCTGCAACATGAGGTGTAAGTTTGTGTGTGGTTATTTACTAAGGAGTCACTAATCAGAAATATTTGCATTCCTACCACAAGTGATATAATGAGCATAAGATTGTTGGGGCATTTGATACTAAGCTAATTAAACTCAGTTAAGTTAGTGGGAGTTTAACCCCTGACTGCATTTGATGCTAAGTGTTACTGAAGAGCCCATCACTCATATTTATACCATCAATAAAGTGTGTTTCATGACATTTTGTTTACTAATCTCCTTTTGGATTTTAGGTACTGTTTTATTTTAAATTCAAGGTTTGCACATTTGTGCACTTTTTTTTTGTGTGTGTCTGAAATGGATAAACGTACATATTTATAACAGATAACAAAAAAATGGGTTTTTTTTAAAAAGTAGATTTTGGCATTTTAGATTGTGTTCATCTGCTCAATCTCTGATTGCTCCTCCAGTTACGCCGATGTACATAAAGAATAATTGATTTAAGCTATACTATTTGTTCTGTACAAAATATTTAGAAATGACATAAGAAATCTTTTCATGATTGGTGTATTGATCTTGTTTGAATTTGTACTACACATGTACTAATGAATGTTTTGAAAATGTCAGTTCAATTCTGTGAAGTGTACATCCTAGGTCTTCCAAAATGGGACACTTTTTTAGTATAATTTGCTGTCTTCTATGATATGGGAGCACCTGAAGAAAATGGGATAGACACGCTCCTAAGAAAAGCCATTTTTTGTTGAACCTTTCTGTTTTAGTGTTTTAGAGGAAAGTAATAGATGAGTCTGACTATGCTAGCTTCTTTCAATTCCTTCCATACATAGTTGAGAACAGACTGAGAGCATGTGCTGAAGTTTAGGTGTGCTTCCCTGCTCTCATGGCCTGGGGCCTCTTTGCTGCACTGGTTGCATTGTGACAGCGCAGCACTACTTGTAACAAAAATAAAAAGAAGGCATTAAAAGATGGAGAAGTCTTTGTCCCCTTTCTGTAGGGTGTGATGTTCCGTTGTGTAATCTTTCACTTGTAAGTAAAAGTACCATTTTTCAAAGGAACTCAATATACTTTATAAACTGGATTTTAATTGAACCAAACAGATGTATACTGTTGTGTTTCTATTATTTCCCTTCATGTCCTGTGCTTTTAGAGTTGTTTTTGCATATTGCCATTTTATAATGCAGTTTCTTATTGGTTCAGCAGTTTGATAAGCATGGATTTTCTTTCCATCCAGTGAAATTTGGTGCATCTTTTTTTCTGCTGTTGTTAAAAGAAAAGAACACCTCAACAAGTAAAAATATCCACATGATTTCTAAATGGTTTTTTTTTGAGCAAATCCTTCTCTTTCCTTATTATTTTTTTCAAGATTGAAATATGTAAACTTTATTTTTCTATGCTAGAAGAATGATTTACCCTTTTTTTTCCATCACCCTTCATCTCTCTTACTGTCCATCACCTAAACCAAACCATAAATATCAGTATCTTTGTTGCACTTTTTATCCCTTTTATTCACTAAGCCAAACTTATTTGGCAGAACTCATGATCTGAATAGGGTTTTCATCGCCTTCAAGGATCTGTTTAAAGCACCTATCTTCCATGCAGCCATCTCTACATGAATTTGTCTTTTTATTGAAACTTGTAATATGGTAACATGTTGCTGAGTGTTGATGTCTTTGAACCCCTGAAGGTCTGATTTTCTGTATCTATATTGTGCACTGCCAGACTGTTTCCATGAAAGAAATTTGAAGAGTTACTACCTAGAGCTCTGTATATTTCCATAGCCATACTAGATGTAGTATTCTGTGCTTGTTTTGGGAAGGCAGTTTAGCTATTTTTCTTTTATTTTAGTTAGTCTTCTTCAAACCACTACAGTATGGAACTAAGAACTGCAAATACCAAGAAAGAGAAATTATTCTTTAGAAGGAGGAGTTTTGTAAGCATTAATGTGGTTTTACAGTATTTGTTGGCATTTCACTCATCCCCTGAATTTTACTTTCTTCCTGATAAAAAGAGGAAAATATTACATTATGGATCATCAAAATAGAATCTAGCCATGAAACTGAAAGGCCTTTATGGAACTGGAGGAAAGGAGTTTCTGTTTCTGTATGTAGTAATTAATTACTAGCATATTTGTTTCCAAGTAGTAAGGAGAAAAAAGAAACAGTATCCTTAATTAATATTGAATAGAAACTGAATTACAGAGCCAGCTGGCTCAGCTGTCGGCACATGATAGAACAGTGGGAATTGAACCAGAAAACACTTTATGAGGTTACTGTAACCTAGAATTCATGGCGATAATTTTAATGGGTGGGTGTTGTTCATCTCTTAGTGAAGGGAGGCAGATTGGGGGGGGAGAAACTATTAAAAATTTTCCACGATTATTTCTTAATTATATAAATAGTCAAAAAATATAAAACTTCTTGTGAAGACAGTCCTAGTTTCCTTGTGTAGATTAAGTGTAATCCAGCACTACTGAAAAATATTAATATTTCTGGTTAATTCGTTTTAACAGATCAACAATTTTCTTTTTTCAGGTCGAAAACTTAAAAAGTTTAACAAAATTAAGGTTGTGAGAACGTTAGATGTCGCGCTCCAGCAGCCAGCAGCCCTTCAAGATGAAAGCCAGTCTCTAACCCAAAGGCTGTCCTTTTCTCCAAATCAAGAAATACAGTTTGTTCCCCCAATGATAAGTGTTTTACGAGGCATTGAGCCAGAAGTTGTCTATGCTGGTTATGACAATACAAAACCCGAAACACCGAGTTCCTTGCTGACCAGTCTGAATCATCTTTGTGAGAGGCAACTTCTTTGTGTAGTCAAATGGTCTAAACTCCTACCAGGTAACAGCATTTCTATGTCATGGACTCTAGTTAAGCAGATATGTCATAGGATGAGCAATCAAAAGTGTGTTATTGTCTGCTTGTTAATTCATTCCTAATAAATTCTACAATGATTAAGCTTCCACTTCAAATATATTATCTGATCAAATACATTTTAATAGGAGGGCACTTTTAAATAAATCCATCTAAATTATTAAGACTCACTCCAAAAAAAACCAAACAAACCAACAGAGTTTCTGTGTGTGCTTGTATAGCAGCCTTTCCACCCCAACCCTCCTAAACTATTATTCATTTTTTTGGTGTTAAAAAAGCTTCTATTTCTGCATATTTATTTTTATACTTACTAAAATGAATTTTTGAAAGCAACAGACAAAAATAGTAATAAATAGTACCAGTTACGACTAAGTGGGTCACAAATGGACTGTTAATAGGATGTAATTGAATTTATGAAGGTCCAGGATTAAGTAAAAAAAAACCCACATTATGTATATGCACATGTTGTATGGTCATAGGGACCCAGTCCTGGGATATATAAAAATCAATATATTGAGCAAAAAGCCTGGTTTCAGGTTAGCTCAGTGTGACACTTCACTGTTGCAGTAAAGGTTAGTCCCTATCACTGCTCCTTCCTACTGCAGTTTGTGCTTGTCAGACCTCTTGGTTGAACTGATTCATCTCATTAAGTGAGAAGAAAAAAAAAAATTACCCTGTAGTTTTCTGATGGTTTCATAAGCTGAACCAGTTCACTGAGGGGTAGCAGGCAT